TCTCTCTTGCCCCTCCTCTTTTTTTTTTTTTTTTTAAGAAATCTATAAGAACTTGCATTTCCATTTCTTGGCATTCTGTTTGTTGTAGTGTGTGTGTCTTAGGGAGGTTTCACTGTAACAGACAGTAGCTTCATGGCGAAGAAGGACTCTAGAGCCAGACTTCCTGAATTTAAATCCCAGCCTAGCCATTTACTAGCTATGTTCTTGGGTGAGTTATTTCTCTGAGTCTCACTTTCCTCATCTGCAAAATGGGGATAATAATATCACCTACCTTATAAAGATGCTATGAGGATTGACTGAGTTTATCTATGTAAAATGTTTATATAAGAGCTCGAATAACACCCAATGAAAAGTTAGCAATTATTTTTTATTTATGAGGAAATGAGTCAAATGCCAATATTAACAGGGTCTATCTCTTTAATATAATCTTGGTTATTCTAAAAGCATTACTTACAGAATATCATAGAAAATGGTGAAGGCCCAGCTGCTGTGTCTGAGGAGCTCACAGCCTCACTGGGGAAGCAATATGTATGGTGTAAAGAGCTAGCCAAGGTAGCAAGCAGTTTAGTGACAGGTTGGACAGGATGATTTAGAAGTGCAGGAGGGATTTTAAAGAGTAGAAAATTATTGTAGTTTGCATATGTTTTTCAGGTCATGCAGTGAGGCACCTGGAGAGCTAGTGAAAAGAAATTTCCAGTCTCACTATAGGACAAAGACAAAGTGATAGGGATTTGCCCAAAGTTAAATTAAATGAGTTGGTGGAGAGGCTGGATGTAGGATTCAGATGTTTGGCCTTCACTTTTGTACAGAAGTTCTTGTCTTTGTACATACCAATTTTTAGGCAGGTCAGTGGCTTCAGGAGCTGTGAGGATAGGAAGAAGATACTTACACAAAGGAAAAGCTACAGATGAGATCAGTGGTTCTCAAACTATTAGAAATGCAAATTCTCAGGCTCCACCCCAGACCTGAAATTTAAGGGTGCGGTCCCTTAAATTTAATAAGCCCTTTAGGTGGTTTTGCTACACATTACAGTTTGAGCCTCTGGCCTAGATTCTATAAAGGAAGAACAGGAAATAACAGTATTAGCTAAAACTGTGTCATGTACTGTGTAAGCACTTTGCCTACATTATGTCATTCGATCCTTGTAATATCTCTGAGGGTAGGGACTGTTTTTATCCCTATTTTCTTATGAAGAAATGGAAACATAAGTTTATTTACATGTCTAAGGTCATATCTAGTAAGTAGGGTTGGAATGGTCTGGCTCTTATTCTCCACGAAACAACATTTCATTGCTTACAGGTGGAAGAAAGCCAGCAAGAATTCAATTGAACAAAACTGGTGGAGTCCCTGGGTGTGGGTGTTCATATTTCAGATTGGTTGCACTGAAGGGAATCTTGCAGCCATTCACAGAACCTCAGTGCACATTGACCGTGTTTATTTGTTTCTTAGAAAGTAACTTCAAGTACCAGGTATTACTGACCTTAGAAAAACAAACAAAGGTTTTGTGTT